TATTACTACGCCAAATACAAGTGCTAAGAGCGCGACGATCAGGCTTTGACTGACTCTCTCTCTCTCTCTCTCTCTCTCTCTCTCTCTCTCTCTCGTAGTGAGCCTCGCTGCTCACTTTACATTACAAAAGCCTGATTGGACGTCGGAATACAATGTGTCGCGTTGGGATTGACTCATAACCACTCGAAACTAACAATACGCGAGATAATTTGAATTCAATTAAGCTGAAATATCATAAGCTCTGAACACGCGTCTTACCTCATTTTTCGCCACGTACACTAGAAATCTTCTTGACGAGAAGATCCTAGTTCCCACCTTCGCTGACCACAATAAAAAAATACATGGCTCAATATCCCTGAAATGAGTGAGAGATTCACGTTTTATTGACATTCAACGGCTTCTAAAGAAACATTCATAACATACTATTTAAGTTGGTCTCTACTTTTATGACTTCCTATTCTGCCTTTTAAGCCTGCTCACAAGATTAATTACGTTTTGTGAGGCGCATACAGCTAAGAAAAGTTATAGTTAAAATAACGATAACTTTAATGAGCTTCGTGATTTATCAGAAATCTTTCGTGGTTCTTTCTTTGCGTCCCCTGCTTCTCTACAGCACATCTTGTCTACTAGAGGACTACCACCTACTTTTCCGTATCCATGCACCACTTCTCGCAAGACATCTCCCTTCTCATCCCTAAAGTGAAGGTGATCCACAAAGTGACAAAGACTAAAAAGTCACGCTAAGACAGCAAAGATTTCATCCACATAGAATTTGATGCTGAGGAATGGATGCTGCCTCTGGGTGCGTCTTATCTCCTTCTAGTGCAAGCTGCCTCATGACCCGCAGAGCTAGAAAAGGAGCAGATGCAGTCCCATACGTCACTGTCGTAGTCCTGAACTCCTGGACTGGCTGTGAATCTTCAGCTCGCCAGAGGATAGACTGCCACTTGGTGTCATCTGAATGGACCTTGATCTGTTAAAACATTTGGATTACGTCCGTAGTAAAGGCATATCTAAAAAAACGCCATTGAATTAAGACAGCCGAGATTTCAGTTTGTAACTTGGGACCTGGCAATAAGACATCATTCAACGAGAGCCCAGTTGAATCCTTCTGGAACGCGTTAAACACCATTCGATTTTTTCTAAAATCGTTTTGTTTGAAGATAGCATTGTTAGGCATGAAATAACCCTCATGGAATCTGGAATTTGGTTAGAATCCAAATATTCGAGCATTAAGGCCTTGTAGGCATCCCTAAGGGTCTCATTGTGAGCTAACCGTTTCTCGAAACGCAGGAGACAAGCGTGAGCGATTTCTCGAGAGCCGGTAAATCTGGGTATTTGCGAGAACGGAAGACGCACTACAAACCTACCCTGCTCATCACGATAGTGCGTATCAACGAAATGTCGCTCACAGGATTCTTCCTCTGGAGACAGAAACTTTTGGCACCGAATGTCTTCTATCTCCCAGAATTTTAAAAGAAGGTTTGGGATCGACTACTCTGTGAAGGTATGAAAAACCTGAATCGAACTAGGTCTTTCAGATAAGACCTCCGAATGGGCCTGCCCAGTAAGCAGCCACCCAAAGACTGATTGTTGCGCAACAGGAGTACCAATCGGACCTACTTTTAGACCGTCTCTAATGATTGATGCGTAAATGTCCGCGCTTAAGACACAATCAACCCTGTCTGGCTTAGAAAATCAAGGGTCAGCCAAAGAAAGTCCACAGATGTGAGGTCAGGGTTGAACCGCAAGTCTTCTTGAAGGGATGAGTTTGATCAACTCATCCAAGACTAGAGCCGTGACCTTTAGGCCAAACTGTAAATTGACTTTGGAGTTGACCGTCAGGTGCACTTCAGCTTGTAACTTCGACGTGACAGCGCCACCAAGCCCCATAACTGAAATAGCCACCCTAGTAGGTTTTAATGAAAGTTGCTCAACAACTCGTTTTGAAACGAACGATCGCTGTGAGCCAGGATCAATCAAGGCACGAACCGAAATTGAATCCCCCTTGGAATCAACTAGCGTCACTTAAGCAGTGGCTAGTAAAACCATGCTCTCTACAGAAGTTGAGTTAGCTACGACGGATGAGGCCATGGCAGAACACGACGTCGTAACTTGCTGTGTCGAGTCGGAATGTTCTGAAGAAGACGTGCTACCTATCACGGGCTTTGTAGAATACGTGCAACCTGGTTTTGTGATGTTAGCACCTGAGTTTTCTGGGTGAAGCCTAGTATGATGTTTTCCTTGACATATAAAACACTGTTTGGCTGAAGGACATTTTTCGGCAAAATGAGAAACCTGAAGACAATTTAGACAGAGCTTCTCCCTTTTGCAAAACTGAACCCTTTGTTGAATCGTCATGTCATTAAACTTTTTACACCCAAAAAGCCAGTGCGTACCAGTGCACAACACGCAAGATAAGTTTGTCTTGTTTGGTGTAGAATCAACAATTTGGACTGTGTGAACAGCCACTTTTCTTTACCGACTGACTGAGGCCCTGAACGAGCACCGGATTTTTCCGAAGTTGTACGCGACTGCTCCAAGCTTGGAATTCTACGTTTGAGGAATTTAGTTAGATCCTTATATGGAGAGAATCCCTGTTTTCCGTCTTGTGAAATCTCCTAGTTCTCTCGCGAGATAGAATCCAACTTTCGAATAATACAATGAGCGATGAAAGAATAAGCCTGAGTCAGCTCACACTTTAAATCTAAAAAAGCTCGTACTATTTCCTCGACCTGATCTAAGAGATCGTTCAGATCTTGTGCGCTTCGTGCGCGAACGTTAGGAAGCTGGATAAGTTTTTCCATATTGTTATAATGCCTGAGTCTTATATTGTCGTATCGACGAGTAAGCTTTTCCCAAGCAACAGTATAATTCGTATCAGTGATTTCTAAATCCCTCCATCTGAGCGCGGCTTTTACCTGAACTGAAGCTAACAGGTGTGATAGTTTCGAGACATTTGAAAGGTTAGTTTTGTTAAGAACGAGCAACGTAAAGCGTTGTTTAAGGGATTCCCACTCCTCGTGATTACCAGCGAAAGTAGATAAAGAGAGTACAGGAAGAAAGACTTGATCAACTACCGCAGGAATAGGCGTAGGGTCAACAGTAGGCTGGGGGACAGGTGTGAGCTCTTTAATTCGTTTGCGAATGGCGGATTTCGCCTCGGTATACCTATCCTCCGCCGTTGCATAGCAATCTATTTTGAAATAGTCGTATCCTGCTAGGCTAACCTCGTCTAAATCGTCGTGATAGTCAGAAAACTCAGACCAGTATTTTTTAAGCATATCTAAACAGGTTTCAAAATGTTCTAAAGTTTGTCTCTCAACACCTGCTTTAGTAATGTAGTTTTCTAGACAGTTATTTATGTTATTAAAAAGCTTTATCTGCTTCTTTATTACTTTGTCCATAACGAACAACTTCAAAACAACCAAGTTAACTAAAGCAACTGAACAGTATTTACTCTGAAAACACGATAATCATGAAAAGAAAAACAAAACAACTGTTTAACGAGGCAACATGCAAAGACGTAATAACAAGACTGAAGGCATATAGGATTTCGAATAAAAATAAAAGAAAAAGTACGACTGGAATATGAGAGCAAAAGAGAGAGAGAACGTATGTCTACTTACTGTACCTTTCTGCAGCGAGCTTCTCCCCCCGCTCGCTCGATCTCGCTCGAATGCCGAAGATAGGCGCTTATCACGGCGAAGCCGACGATGGGGCGATGAAAGAGAAGGTGCAGACTTGTTGTAGTAGAGAAGGACAGCATGATGAAAAGCTGCTTACTATAGATGAGACCTGCCTCTCTCCTTTCCTCCCTCCGCTCCACCGACCCGAATGCCGAAGAAAAGATGGCCAACGTGTCGTTCCTTGTCGTCGAAAATGGATGCGGAGCCATGAAATTCCAAAAGGCCGTGTATTTGCAGCTCTGCTACCAAAATGTTTAATGCACTGCGTAGATCGCTCGAGACTTATTGAATCAAATCTCGAGTAGAGAGCGGGAGCAGGATTACGATTGTATGACTACAGTGACACGAACAAATATACTATAGTTGCATTTTTATCTTTAGATCAACAAATAACTTTCTATTTATAAGAGCAACTAGTACAACTCTGAAGTTTTACTATAATGAGAATAATAATTTTTTTTAATAGAAAAACTAGGCTCACCGAGCCAAGGACGAGAAGAGATACATCCTAAGCAGCAAAAAGTAGATGGATAGCACGTATTGAATAGCACGATGTGCATGGAAGCTATCGCGTCTAATCAGCCGCCGACAGGCTCTCTCTCGCAGCTGTTACTCGCACACCGGTCTGTAGGAGAGAGCAAGCGCGGGACATCATCACGTTGAGGAGCCCGAGCACTCGAGGAGCCGGGGTGGGGATACCCTCGTGAGTGCATGTGTGTGTATGCTGTGGAACTTAGAGAGTATAGAAAGCAAAGAAACTGTATTACTGTAGTAAGGAAACCACTACATTCGTAACACCCACGAGAGTTCCCCACCGCCGCTCCACGAACGGAGAAATGGAATAGTGCTGCGGCTTGGGCTCGCCATTGGCTTGGTGTTACAACTATATTCTCACGTCACCAAATATTATTTTTACAAAAAAAATCTTTTCTTCCACAAGTAGGAAATAATTTATTTAAACTCACATTATGTGCCTTATTAAATAGTGTGATACGGCTATTTAAAATTAATGTATTGAATTATCATAAAAAAATAAAGTTACTTATATAAAACGACAATTGCAAATTTAATGCATGGTCAGTAAAATGTAAAACAGATGAACGCTATATATTTTTAGCATAGAACTGCTGGGACACTGTTACAGTGGAAGCTAACTGTTTATTAGTAAACTTGTTTCAATAGGCATGCGTTGAGACATCAGTTAATGATGCACACTTTTTTTATAAATACATATTGTTAAAACTTTCTCACAATTTTAATTGTTCAATGATAAAAGTTTTTCTAATTTAAGTTATATATTTGCTCTTTTAGGTTACAGCAAAAAAGAAATTTCGGTGTCCAGAGTGTGTTAATACAGAAATGTTATCAGCTGATTTAACACATATGATTGAAAGAACTCAATGCATAAATTATTTTACAGAAATATTTGATGAAATGCCTTTGAAATCAGTAGAATTTCGTGCAGATCCTGTGCTATTCAAAGATTACTTTCCAGATAAATTGAAACGTTTTAATAACGTAGGAATGCTGTAAACTATGACATGTATTTTCAAACTTAGTATTTGTAATAGTAATAAAAATATATGACTTCCATAAAATGTGTTTAAAATAACAATCCTCAATAAATGATGCCTTTAACTTGTGGTAAAAGATTTGAAAACCAGTTATTTTTCTTCATTACGTAGGAGTAGTAATTTTTTAGTCACAGTGTGCTGTTGAAAGTTAAAAGTTTGTGAAATAATTTTTTGAGAATGAGTTTGCTTTTAAATTATTTAATTTTCTTGATTGTAATGTTCTTGATACAATAATAAATCCTACCTGAATTTTAACTTTTTGCAATCTTAATTCAGAAAAATCTCAGTTCAAACATGTGTTCTTGCAAAGAGAAATTAATTTAACGTTACGTTGAAGATAAGACACATACATTGAAAAGCTTGATTAATTTTTGTGACCAGTATAAATAAAATGGTTTGCAATCGATACGATCTTACTTTACATCTTTAGTCACAAGTGATTTCTTACAAAATTTTTAACAGATTATAACTATAGCAGTGTAGCAAAATAAGCCAGTTCGTGAGTAACGATAGTTCCTTTATCGATGTATATTTTTCCTGTAACCTTGTACTTAATGTACAAAGAGAGAGACCAGCTTTTTTAACCGTAAATTACTGTATGATTATAATTACTCCGCCACGACTGTGCTCGAGCCAATCGGGAGTAATTAGGCTAAGCTGTGATTGGTTGTTTGGACCCCCGACCTGACATCCTCCTCAAAGGCAACAGTATAAAAACTTCTTGCACGTACCAATTTTAGCCTTCTGTGTTTCATCAAATGATCTAAAATAACTATGAATGTTAAAGGATAAATTCTGTTTCGTCTTTTAAGTGAATGTAAGACTTAATTCGGTGACAATGCTACCTGTTAGAATCGTGCATTTCGAGCAAATGTAAGACTTAGTTCGGTGACTGAGTTGTATGACAAAAGCTTGAGCTTACCATACTACTATCGACTTGCCTAAAAAATGAATCAAAGAGAAAGAGAAAACAAAGGACCATTGACTTGGGTTTCGATATTAAAAGCTGCAGCCTAATTAACGTTATTTCCACGAGTACTCTCCTGTAGGATTAGAATAATCGTTGTGGTCAACCTTGTAAGATCTTGCAACTACGTGCGTGCAAGCAGTGGCTAACCAACAATCATAGAAGTGAGATAAGTTAAGAAAAACGTAAAATTGTTTAAATTCTGTAAATACGAACTTGAAACTCTATAACTTATATTATTTGTAAAAACCGATTATTTCCGACCTTACCACATTTGTTAAATCATTAGATAAGTTGTAACTTGGTTATTCATTAAATCTATTTTCTTGATTCAAACATTTTAGGACTCAGAATCTTTATTGATAGAAATATAATTTTAACTTTGATGAATTTATTAAATACCAAGAAGAAATTAAATAGATAACGTATGATAAATGCTTTTACAAGGACGTAAGATATAGAGATTAATAAAATACGCTTTTACTGCATTATATTAGATATAAATTTAAACAGTAGGTCATTGCTAACTAAGCGCACGATACATTAACACCTCTCTGACAGAAAAAGTGTTATGCTTTGAAAATTTTTACTGCCAAAGTGGAGAGTCCAAACCTCGTATAAAATGTTTTCGCATCAAAAAAACATTAAATGAAAAATTACAAGATGTAGAGATCCAATGTAGCTATATAACGTTAAAATTTCAATACAGGCATACTCTACAATTTAATAACAGCAAAGCTGTGTGATGAATACATTTAAATATAAGCTACTCAATACTTTTTTATTTGTGCGCACATGCACAAGTAATTATTGTTTATTGTATCCAATAGTGCGCAAACTACGACCCTGTGTGACCACACTGAAAATAATTCAGCATGCTGGCTACTCTCTAACACAAGTGACAGCAGCGCCCTCCTGTATGAGTATATGATGCTCTGAAACGGAGTAACAGTAGCACTTTTCACGTGTAGCACCATTGTATCGACTACTATGCACAACACTATACGTTTGATCGGAGTACAGGCTACTCCGATTCGAAGTAATATTTAGGCTATAGTATACATGCCGAGCGTATATTACTCCGATCAGAGTAGCTGATACTCCGATGGAAAGTATAGGTACTGCTATGTCAAATCAGAGTAGCCTCTTAAATTGAAGAGTAGGGGGCGCGCTGAATCTTTTTCAGTGCACCAACCACTACGCACCTCACGCTCTTGCCCACTTGACTTTATTTATTTAAGTTTAATCAAAGTTGTCCACAGTTTTCTACAATTGTTTATACAATAATTAATATCCAGCTTTATTTGTTATTAGACTTGGTGTCACTAGCGTTATTCATAGTTTTGTATAAGGACACCATCCATTTTGTCAAGTATTAGAGTAAATCCACTCCCTTTCATTTACTGTTTAATATACACATCTTTTGTTTAACTTAAGTAAAAGTGTTGTGTCATGTTTTGCCTTGACCTCAAACTCCTACTCATTCTGCCAGCATACGGCAAAAGGAAATCGAAGCCTTTTTTAAATCATACATTTCACTCTAGTATAATCTCAAACAATAGTTTTACAGGTAGATAAGATGCCATAGCTGTTAATGCTCCCTCAGAAGATTAAACTAATAAAGATTTTAATCCAAGCAAATTGAATAATGATTGTTCCAACCTGTGTCATGAGATACAGAATCCAAGTTATACTTGTAACGCACAAGATGACAATTTTAGTGGATGTAGTCAGTAGGATAGTGAACAAAAATACCTAACTATTAAAAAAGAGTCATCTTTGTATAAGTTTGATTCAAGACCTGCAACCATGGAAAATTTATTATAACATCGCAAGGAGCAGTTGAGACAGTACCCAGCAGAAATCGAGCAGTTTTGCACAAAGTTGGAGAACAAAAACCACAGTTTGAGGAAGCCAGACAAAATATTGAAAGAGGAAATCAACAGCAGGCGATAATTAACAGATTACAGCAGGAGCTTGCCACTGCGCGTCTTGCTGCCGAAAATTCGCTGCCATTTCCAGGGCAGATTGCAAACTTGAATAGTGTAAGTAACGCTAATGTCAGCAATCTGCTTAATAACTTAACTGTGGCGCAAATTGATTTAAATTTACCGAAATTTAGTGACAAAAACGCATTAAATCTGTTGAAATTTCTGGAAGAAGTAGAAAAATTTGTTAAAATCAAAAATGCTCGTGATGATAAGAGATAGACGATGTTTGAAATTGCATTAAAGGAGAAAGCTTTACTGTTACTTTAAAAAAAATTATGCTAGCTGCCAATATCAAGAACAGGATGGAAACTTGCAGACATATTTTTATAAACAGTTTAAGGCCTCAAATTACATTTTACTCAAACTAATAAATTACAAAAGAAATTATAGCAGTTTCCATCGATTGTGAAAGAAATGTTGGCCTTGGTTAACCTGCAAAATACAAACGCTACCGTACAAACATTGGCCCAGCTTGATGCGGTGAAATCAAAGTGAAGGCGTATTGCTGAAAGTTAATATGAATTTAATAATCAAAATAATAAAGCTCTAGAGATTAATCAAGTAAAAGTTGATACTCGCGACTCGCGATCCTCGAGGTTCTTAGTACAATCAACAAAGTAATAGAGATAACGTTTACTTGGATCAAAGTGACTTTAATAAAAACTATTAATATAATAATAGTCAACTGAATTTCAAGAAAAATAGATTCTATTACGAGCCAAACCTACGTAATTTTCACCAATCCTTAAATTCTCACAATTTTTGTAATAATCATAAGTATAATGTTCAGAGTGGTCATGCGAGGATACCTGAGACGATTTTTTCTTTATCTATGGCTGCCCCTCTGGTAGCACAAACTCTATCTGAAAATCAAAATAGAAATTTAGAATTTGAAGAGGTGCGTTAAGTACTGGTCTGTCAGTGCATCTACAAGTCCATAGTTTAATTACAGATCATGAGAAAATTATAAAAACAAAGATGGACCAGACCAACAATTCAAAAGGCACTGTAATAGCGTGACCTTCTCACATTCTACTTAAAATATAGGGTATGGAATATTGGTTACTGGTAGATACGGGTAACCAAATAACTGCGATTTCAGAAGAGTGGTATGATATAGTTAAAATAAAAAATGAGCTTCTTGAATTTCTAGTACAAAACGTCACACTATTAACTGTGATTGAGAAAAGAAATACTACGGTCAAAAAACAAACAATGCTTGAAAAAACATTAGAGAATGCACAAATGCATAATTTTTCTTGATTGTTCCTTTTTTCTCAAATAAAATTATATAGGAAACGACTGGAATTTGAACAGTACTTAAGTAATTGACTATAATTTGTTGAGATTGAATTTAAAAGGTAAGATAATTCCAAATAATTTGATGTTGTTTAAGGCTGGCTCAGTCGGTAGGTTATTGCTAACTAAAGACACAGAGGATATTGTTATTATTATTTATGTAATAAGAATTAGTAAAATAAAGAATATAAAGGAAAAAAAGTTCAAATATATTGAAATAGTATATTACGACACAACTGTGCGGAGAACGCGATCGACACACGCGTGTCAGATCGCACACGAGCACCAGCAAGTCAGTCACATAATCTCTCGCATGTATGGTGTATACAACTTTTCGACAAAACGTGCGGAGGGAGCAGGATTTAGAGCCATCTTATGTGGCTCTACAAAGACCTCGACTTACACATGCACTCACACGAGTGTGTAGCACGAGCTGCAAGTTGCGTGTGTAAGTCGAAGTCTTTAAAGCCACATTAGATGGCTGTAAACCTTGTTCCCTGGGCATGGTGGGTCGAAAAGAATTAAAAAAAAAAAAGTGATGAGATTTATATTGGTAGTGATGATGAATTATGTAATGAATTAGAGAGGGAGAGTAGTAAACAAAATGAAAAAAATAAATAAGAATCATAGGATTAGAAGTAAGTAGTTGGATAAGCTCGTGATGCGTTGGGAACAAACCAATGGCCAGTTTGTCGCTTCGAG